TTTTTTTTTGAGGAAATCCTGTTTCAAAAATCGGATACGTCACGAATCAGAAATAAAAAAAATGAAAAGTATAACATATGTTGATAATTTTATATGTAAATTTCGTGCTGCGTTAATAATTCTTTTCGCGTGTGAAACACGATAAACTGTCATTTTTTTTTAAGAGATTAAGGATCGAAATTCAAGAAAGTTTCGAGTTTCGAGAATTCGACATTTGTCTTCCGATTCGAAACTTTCGAGATTCGGGTGAGAAAAAGTATAAAATCGACTGGATCTCGAGATATATAATGCGATTTCTGTCTTTAACAAAAGCTACAACTATCGATTAAAGTGTAAAAAATTGTAAAATCGGAGGAATTAGAGTGCCGCGAGTAGAAAAAAGTTCATAATAAAGCAATGAACGCAAACTTTTGTTTGTATATTTTACAAGAAATCATTCAAACATCTAAAAATGCAACATCGTAGGTCTGCAAAAGTATTCTGAAAGATTATAAATTGGGAATTTTGACCAGTTTGGTAGTTCTAATGTTAAAAGATGAGCGATTGATCCAAATCTAAAACAGATTAACAAAAAAAAAAGAAGAAGGTATATCTCAACAATATACTCTGAAAAACTCTTCATTATATACAGGGTGTCAATTTTAAGTCGAACGTCTAAATTATTCAACATTAATGACATTAACAGCGACCGAAATAATTTATTTTCTTCGATTTAAAATTAACACCATCTACTAGTCGACAAAAAAAAAAAAAAAAAAAAAAAAAAAAAGAAACAAAAAAGAAGAAGTAGAACAGATCCAGAAAGAGATTGGTTCAGACATTTTTGCACGATCGCTGCCTTTCTTTTTCCTTGAATTTTCGCCAACTGTGGCCAATAAAAATTTAATATGAAAGCGTCGGCTTCGCTTCTTAAAACAAGAAACTCCTCTCGTAAAATAAAGTCAGCAGCAGTTCAAGCTCGGAGAGTTTCGAAGCCTCGCAAGACCTTGCAAAGTCTCGGGTACGCGTTTCGGTAGTTTGGAAATTAGTTTCGAACTGACCATCCCGAAAGAAGAAAATGGCAAGGAGTAAAAAGGGCTAAATGGTAAAGTTATCAATCTCGATATGGTAAAGTATGAAAAACTGAAGTCTTCGATCACACGCAAATTAAACTTAAAGATAGTTGATATCAGCCATAAGATGCTGTTTTATCAACGATCGTTTCCCACGCGTCGTCAGTAGGTATTTACCTAGAAGTATAAGAAACAATCCCATGAGAAGGGAGGAAAGGGTGAGGAGGATCCGACGTCCCAGTAGATCGACGAGGAACGCGACAGACAGGGACACCAATATTTGAACGGCGGCGACGATCAGTGTCTGCTCGCTTCCGGTCAGTTCACCGGAACCGCTGGTGTCGAACAGCGTCAAGGCGTAGAAAATCATCATGTTGACGCCGCACACGTGCTGGCCCACCACCACTCCGAAACAGGTAGCGATCGAACGTAGCACCCGCCGATTCTTTAGCAACTTTAGGCCAATCTGACATCAGAGAAATCGGACAACAATTAGTGACAAAGCCTCGGAAACTTCTGAGGTTTAATTATTCGTCGTTGTGTCTTCCGGATGTCAGCTGGGTCCGAGAAATTTCTCTAATATTGTACAACGGATTACAAAATAGTAGAAACTGGTCATTTTATGGCCTTGGTAGTTATATTGATGGTTTAATTATCTGTCTTTTGTGTGTCAGCTGGGTCCAAGAAATTTCTAACGGGTTAGAAAGTAGTCTAACAAAAATTAGAAATTGGTCA